CTTACGCACAGCCGAGAAGAGCAGGCTGAAGGAGCAGAGGCTCTCCAGCGCCACACGCTCTCGCATTGCGCAGCGGCGAGCGCGGGCGGTCACCCGCGCGCCCAGGTGAGCGAAGACGCCCTCGTACTCGGAAGCCACGGAGCACACCGAGCCTGGCGGTTCGAGGTGCACCTGCCCGTCCGAGCCAGTGGGAGTCGAAGGGTCCTCTATCATTGGCACCACAGATGCCGCGGCGGCCGACGCCAGCGGCACACGCACGATCAGCAGCATGGTGAATAGTGGTATGCTCGGCATCGCTCAACTCGTCAGCCCCGACCAATGGATAGCGACGCTGAAAAGCACAAGACGCTGGCCCGCTGCCAGTGGCACGCCGAGTCCCCCTGCAGTGCCATGTGCCGGCATGGCGGCCCCTGTGGCGCCGGAGGCCGCAAGAGGGCCGCGAGATGGCTTGCAAGGAGAAGAGGAGGAGGAGGAGGAGGAGGGGGAGGAGGAGGGGGAGGAGGAGGAGGAGGAGGAGGAGGAGGAGGAGGCGGAGGAGGAGGAGGAGGCAGCCAGAGGGAGCGGTATGATGATGCCGATGGTTATGATGATGATGATGATGATGATGATGATGATGATGATGATGATGATGATGATGATGATGATGATGATGATGATGATGATGATGATGATGATGATGATGATGATACAGCTGATGCTGCTGATGATGATGATGTTTGCCAAAAGAACGGGATCGCCGGCAAATGCGGGATGTGAGGATAATGCGATGTCGGAATCATTACTGGTCTGGACAGGACAGGTCGTATCGACAACTCTGTAATATCCAGCAAGCTGGTGTGCATACGACATGCGAGCGCGGGAGGAGGGACGACGGCGCGGCGATGACCCAAAACGCTCTCTTTTCGCTAACGCGAGGTCGGCCCACGTGAGTGATTCCACACACGGCCACAGATTTACACGTAACTCCGAATAGGCAACTACAGAGTTGCTGACGGCCAGCTGCAGCTATCGTTTCTTTGGGGTGCATTCTATTCATTCAGAGGTGATAACGATCACCCACCATCCTTGCATAGTATTGATTGCTGTGAAGTTTTGTCGAGCTTATCGCGAGATTGAGCCCGCTAGCTTATTGCAAGAATTCTTTTCTTATTTCAGGTTCGTGCAGCTCACCCAGTCATAGCCCGAAACTTCCTGATTGCATGCCGAATCAGCCGTTTGCTGTTTACCGACGGCCCCGTGCGTAATGAAGCGAGCGTCAGTATAAATACTCGACGCCTTCCGGTGCCGCGAGCACCTACAGGCGTCAAGTAGGAGGAGTGTGATTCCTAGCACTTCCCTCGCTCCTTCCGCCAGCTTCCGCATCTGCCCTCTGTCTGGCCCGCTGCGCGTGCCAGTGCTTTTCCTAGCCCAAACCTCCCGCGGACGTTTGGCTCACAGGGCCCTTGGTCATTTGTGTTACGCCATCACCAGCGGTGAGAGCTAAACAGCATTATCAGCGATAATCCTACATATCACAATTCATAGCTTGGGACGTTGCCATGAATCGGGTTTTCCATGGTGACGGTGTGTCCCCAGCTTCGGGCTGACGCTGATGTTGAGGGTGACGAAGATGATCACCGCGTTTTCAAACAAAAAAGGGCCCATGTCGAAGATAGCTCAAAGCGGGGTTAAGCCCAGGATCCCAATTTCAAAATCCGCGGCGGTCAACCCAGGGGAGCGCCATTCGCTTCGGAAAGCACTGCAGCTTTTGTAGTCTGCGGCCTGCGCGCGAGTCTGAACCTTGAAATCGGGGGCGCGGGGGGTGGGACTTGCTCCCTCTCTACTGCTTTGATTGGGCGCACATGTTTCGAGCATGCCGGCCCTGATGGTGATGCTGATGGTGATGCTGACGGCGACCGTGCGTGGCCCTCCAGAGGCCTTCCTCGGCCACCGAGGTGTCCAAGGCAGGTCGCGAGCAGGGTCTCGGAGCATTTGGCGGGGTCCAAAAATAAAAAAAGCATAGTCTGGGGACTATGTTTGATTATCGTTTGACCACTTTGGAGCATGTTTGGGGTACCTTCCTATTTTTCGCCCAATATCCCCCTGTATGGGGAGGGGATGCAAAGGGGGCGGGCCTTCTCGGAGGGCTCGGAAGGCCTCGGACCTCCTGACAAGCTGTCTGAGCCTGCTGCGCAGACAGGAAGCGGATCCTCGGAAGGCTGGGGGGCTTCTGAGAGGCGCCGCCGCCTCCCGAGAAGACCTGCCCCCTCTCGCGTCCTCCCGAGCGCTCCGCCGAATTCGGGAGAGCCTGCGATCGGCTCCCGGAGGCTCTTCGAAGGCTTTTCCGCTCCTCGGTGTTCGGTTTTCCCTTTTGCTGTGTCTCGAGGCGTGTGCTGTTCTGGTTGTGTATTTCACTGTTCTGCTTTCCCACTTTTCCACTTTTCTGCCTTTGCTGAGATTTCCCAGTTTCCCCAGGTATGTTATCAGAGTGAGGGGGCCGAACGTTCACTCATTGTCCCAAGGTGCGTGGCTGAATAGATAATTCGTGGTGAGCATTATGCTTGTTGCGCTGTTGCTGTTGCTGTTGTTATTGATGTTGCTGTTGTTGCGGTTGCCGTTGTCGTTGGTTGTTGTTATTGTTGTGGTTGTTTGTTGTCGTCGTCCCACCCGCGACCCACCCGCAGCCCAGCCCGCGACCCACCCCGCGACCCACCCCGCGACCCACCCTGCGACCCTCCCCGCGACCCACCCGCGACCCACCCCGCGACCCATCCGCGACCCGTCCGCGGCCCACACGCCGCCCACCCCGCGACCCACCCACGACCCACCCCGCGACCCACCCTCAAGGGAGGAAAAACCGCCCAGACCCGACAATTGACGTTTACTACAACGGCCCTGGGCGTTGGCTAGACAACGCTACCCTGTTCGATGTATTCACTGTGTGCGTTTACCAGACGGCTTCGCTTGTCGGGATGATTGTTATGGGGTGGAATTCCTGCCCTCAACACCCGCGACCCACCCGCGACCCATTTGCGACCCACCCGCGACCTACCCACATTGGTTTAACGAAGAAATCGGCGCCTGCGGCAGGCTCGCTGTATAATTTGAAACTTTGGCGCCTGCGGCGGGCTTCTCCAGAGTCTCGCAAACTGCCGACGTCCCCACCGCCCCTGTTCCACTGTTCCCCTTTGTTTACTGTTCTGTGATTATACGTTTAAATGTCTTTTTACATGTCCATTCAGATCGGATATTTTGCATTATTAGGCCGAGCCCACGAACTTTTCCCACACCTCCAGAGGCCTCTGAAAGAGATCTGGAGAGCTCCAGAGACCTCCGAAATGCGTGCTTCCCCCGGGGGAAAAAAGAAGCCTCCAGGAGGGGACAAAGGGGGCGATGATAAGCCTTCTTATCCCTCTCCTCCTCCTCCTCCTCCACCTCCTCCTCATCGTCCTCCTCCTCCTCTTCCTCCTCCTCCTCCTCCTCCCTCCATCCCACCCTCCCTCCCTCCCTCCCTCCCTCCCTCAACCCTCCCTCCCCCCCTCGTCCTCCTCCTCCTCCTCCTCCTCCTCCTCCTCCTCCTCCTCTCCTCCTCCTCCTCCTCCTCCTCCTCCTCCTCCTCCTCTTCCTCCTCCCCTCCTCCTCCCTCCCCCCCCCTCCCTCCCATCCCTCATCCCCCCCTCCCTCCCTCCTCCCTCCCCCCCTCGCTCCCCCCCTCGTCCCTGCGGAGGAGGCCTCATCCGAAAGAGGTTCGGGGAGCTCCGGCGGCCTCCGGAGACCGGCCGGGGTCGCCAGGCTTCCTGCTTCGCGCCTCTCGCGGAGCGCGACGCCAGGCGTCTCGCGCGAGAGAGGCAAGTCCTCCTCCTCCTCCTCCTCCTCCTCCTCCCCTCCTCCTCCTCCTCCTCCCCTCCCTCCCCCTCCTTCTATATCTTATCCTCCTCATTCTATTTATCCTCCTCCTCCTCCTCCTCCTCCTCCTCCTCCTCCTCCTCCTCCTCCTCCTCCTCCTCCTCCTCCTCCTCTTCTCCATCTCGCAACTCTCCGGTCCAGAACGCCGAGCACGAACCGCGGTCATCTTCGCGCCCCCGTGGGCGACCCAGGCATCGCGAGCCGGCAGGCACAAGGCAGATCGTGCCTCTCCCTCGACCGCATGTTTCGTTCTCGCCAAAGCAGCAATCCGCCGTCCTCCGCTGACCACCCACGTGGCGGTCGGCGATGCAGCAAGTCAGGGTGAAACATCAAATGAACCAGTGTCAGTCCTCGCGCCGCTGAGCAAGAGCGAGGATGCGCATACAACGGACAACCGCAGCCCCAACCATACCCCCCCAAGCACCAGATGACGCCAGCGAAGCACCCTAATAGCAGCAAGGGTGAAGATGATGCGGTCAGGACTAGGGTGAGAGCACGGCCATGTCCACCGTAGTTCACCAAACAATGCTTGCACTTAGGGGATCTTCTGTTCTATGGAACTGGGCTGGTGTGGTGGTCTGGCGGCAATGTTGTCGCCGTCGCCGCCCCGTCGCCGCCTCGTCGCCGCCAGTCGCCTGGGCTGGTATGGCGGTCTGGCGGCTATGTTATCGCCGACGTCGCCCCGTCGCCGCCTCGTCGCCGCATAGATTGGACCACATCGATTCTCATGTCTAACAGAAAGATTAGGATCTATCCCCCCGGGGTTGACGGAACAACTTTTCGCATCGCAATGTACATTTGATTTTGCCCCATCGCCCATCCTAAATAAATGATCGTACCATCCCAGGCAGACCGGAATTCGCACCCTCCCTCATCCTCTATGAAAAACTATATGCGCGCGGCGTCGTTTATCAAAACTCATCCGTATTCAAAAATCCCATGCGAAAAAAAAAAAGACGGACGCGCGCGCATGCCAAAATCCTTCAGAAGCCGCGTATGGATTTTCAAAATCGAGCGTCCAGAAAACGCACTAAAACACATGGTTTCGCAACGAGAGCTTGCAAACAACATTTGCGTTCGCTGCTTTGCGAATTCTTAACAAAACCGTCGGTTTT